AACTCTTGATCTCGTGTATTTTGTTTTCGACTGGTTCATTTTTTAATCCAACTTGACTACTTTTCGCCTTCAGTTCTTTAAGCATTCTCTCAAGTTGGGCTGTATTTTTGGCTATCAGCACTATATCATCTGCAAACCTGAGATGGTTTAGCCACTCGCCATTGATATTAATCCTGCCTTTCAAGTCTGCTCATCGAAAAACCAATTCAAAACAGGCTGTGAATAGTTTTGGTGAAACTGTATCTCCTTGTTTCACGCCTTTCTCTATGGGGATTCGGAGGGGAGTATCAAGCAGTGATATGTCCATGCTGCAGCCAGAGTTCACTTCCTTTAGTAATGTGCTATATTTCATGCTGATGTCCTGTTCTGAAAGAGCTTCAAGAATGGTGTTAGTCTCTATGCTGTCGAACGCCTTCTCATAGTCCACGAAGGCAATGCACAAAGGGAACTTGTATTCCCTTGAACGCTCTACTAGTTGGTTTAGAGTGAAGTTGTGGTCTATTGTGCTGTAATTCCTTCGAAAGCCGGCCTGTTCTCTAGGTTGCTGTTCATCCAGGTTTCACAACAGTCGATTTGTTATTATTTTAGTGAACAACTTATAGATATGTGAAAGCACGCAGATCGGGCGATAGTTCTTTAGATTTTCTCGATTGCCTTTCTATATAGCAAGATGGTATTAGACTCTTTCCAACTGGATGGTATTTTATGGATTTCCAGGTAGCGGCTGAATCTTTGGGCGAGAGCTTTCCAAAGTTCCTGACCTCCCGCCTTAAGCACTTCTGCTGTCAGACTGTCCTTGCTTGGAGTCTTCCCCTCTTTCATTTAAAGGACTGTGTGATCGACTTCACTGATGAGAACCGGGAGTATGTGTCCATCGGTTTGTTGAAGTGATGGCATTGGGATGTCTATACGGGATGCAAACAGCTGGGTATAGAAATCACTGCAAATTGTCTCCATCTCTGTTCGGTTACTGATTTTCCGTCCCTGTTCTTCAAGCCGATAATGATGACCTGTACAACTCCAGTTCCCATTTGCATTTTTGAGACTTTTACGATCTTCAGCAGCCTTTAGGAGCTTTTTGGTTTGAAATTTCTAGAAATCTTCCTTCAACTTCATTCGTATGAGCTTGCAGACAAGGGAGTACTCAAGCCTGTTGCTGCCATTTCTTTTCATTTTCCTCCTCTTCTCCAGTAAAGTCTTTGTATTCTCCGAGATTCTTCCACTAGCTCTTCTTGGTCTTTCATGCTCAGCTGATTTCACACACCATTTCAGTCTCTTACTGAAGTTCTCATAATCATCGTCGCAGTCGTCCAGGAGGCTCCAATCTTCCCTAGAAATGTTTTTCTTCAGGATTGCCTCATCGAAAGCTACGGGTTGGTGTCTTCTGTTTGCCATACACAGCATCTTTTTCTCCACCTTTACAGTGAATGTGAGTCTGGCTCTCAGTAGGCGATGATCGCTACCGATATTGAATGATGGCACTACTGAAATATCCTGCACGGTGTGTCGTCTATTGATAAGAAAGTATTTAGTTTCATTTTTTGTCTTCACATTTGGTGCGCTCCAGGTCCATCTTCTATTGGCCTTCTTTCAGAACCAGGTATTACCACTGAACATTCTCCTCATCTCTGCCAATATAGCTAGTCATTCTCCTCTTGCATTTCGTTCTCCGATACCATACTTTCCTATGAACTTTTTGCCCTCTCGCCCTCTTCCAACCTTGGCGTTAAAATCTCCCATCACAATCGTATATGTGGAACTCTGGGCGAGGGTTTCCTCCAGTTCCTGATAGAATCCTTCCACCACATCATCTTCACATGCACTTGTGGGATCATAGATCTAGATGATTTTGAGGGTACTGTTTCAGTTCAATCAGAGGTAAAGCACCCCGATAAATGATGATTTCAAATGGCATGAGACAATTTTCAAAGACCATTCCTTGTTTATGATGAATCCAACTCCTCCAACTGTCCTTGAGCCTTCTCCTTTTCCTAGAATGACCATGCTTCCATCCCTCCAGCTGACCTCCATCTCCTTCTTTCATTGTGTTTCGCAAACACCCAGCACATCACAGGCTGTTTTTGCCTTTCTCCATGAGATGGTTTATCGATTCCTCCCTCATCAGTGTTCTGCAGTTATAAGTGCACACTGAGAGAGTTGTCCGGTTTCCTTTTGGCAACCTGCCACCTGAGATTCTTTGCAGCCTCTCGTTGTTCGAATGCCTCACTGCCTCCGGAGTGGGGATTGAGGAATGTGCAGAGAACTGAGACTTGGTTTTCCATGTTGTTTTAGCCATTGTTTTCATCCACCCACTGACTGGGCTGTCAGTGGCGCGTTTACCTCCTCAACTTAGCTATTTTACAGCCTCAGAAAGAGGGATTATATGCCCTTCCACAGCGGAAGCTGCCCCCTCGCTGGGCTGATAGTCCAACACCTTGATAGCATGGTTAGACCTGCCGGAGAATACACTCCGCTACTATCGCTGTTGAACAGCCAGAGTCACCGCTGCACCACGTTGAGGCATAGAGGTAGGATTTGCAGCAGGGTGAGGGGGGTGAGGTAATACCTTTTATTGGAAAAACTGTCTAATAGATTATTAGGAGGTGACCAGAGGAGAGAGGTGATTTTTCTTCCTTCAAATGTGCTCAAATTTTCATAGATGTTAATTAGAAAGGGTAAGTGGTTCTTTGGAAGTGAACAAACCAAGTCCCGTGAACTTGACTGCATTTTATACCTTCTGTCTAAGCTGCTGTTGTAAAACTACCACTACATGTTGGCTGCTACCTTTATTGAACCCATTTAAAATACCTTTACAAAAGCTGCATTACTTGGCTGTTAAGCATTTTTGCAAAGGCTCTGTGTATATTGTGCAGCACCGCCTCATCTGCTTCTCATTTAGACTGGAAATACAGTTTCAAACTAATGTGTATTCACCGTTTTTTGTTGTTTTTTTTTTTAAAAAAACCTCTACAATTAGAAATGTTCCTATATTTGTTAAGTTCAGTCAGAGCTTTGATTTCACTACTGGCAGAGAATCATGATCAAAGCTGATTTGTACAAGTATACATTTTGTGTTTGTGAAAAAGCTTGGGGAATGTTGGCTGAAGTTGGATAAAAGGGACAGTGATTTAACACCAAATTTTCAAAAGCACTCAGCAGATACAATTGGGGTCACATTTTCACTGGGTGCTGAGCACTTCTGAAAAACTGGCCACTTGCATTTAAGTTATTAAATGGGAGCTTGTCTCTCTTGAAATCTGGCCCTTAATAACATAAAACAATTATTTAAAAAAAAATCTGCTTCTCACTTTGCTCCTTAGAGATACAGCAAAATAGCAGACATGCAAGTGGTTTGGAGAATATCCATCGGGACCAGCCCAAGGATATATCATTGGTCTCTGTACTCATTCCTTCAGTATCTTTTTCCTGTTTATTTCTTACTGTTGGATGATGATGAAAAGGCAAAGTAAGCGGTCTCCAAAATTCACGCTGCTGGCAACTATACAAAAAGTCCATGTGGGTTTTACCTGACTCTTTTGCTATACTTTTATTTATAAAGTACGTTGCCATCCCTCACTCAAGAGTCCACCCCATTAAAAGTAATCATTTACAAAGTAACCCAATAGAAGCCTCTAAAACATAAAGGTTCAATAACGGAATGCCCGACAAGTATCAATACTTCAAACACCCAGTGGCAATCTTTGATTGATCCGCAGATCAAAGACATTTTAAACTGTTTCCTGGAGCTCACCAGAACTGGGCTATGGCAGGCTACCGACAGGAGCAGTACTCCACTGACAACACCCTGGTGCTGGACCCAGGGAAGTTTATCCTATCATAAATGCTGTCTTTGCTGAGCATCATTTTATCAGGTCCTGACTTGCAGCCCTCCTCGCATGAGGGATCTGTACTGAAGCAAGTAGTCCCATTGCGAAAAACCCTCCATTTTAGAACCTGTTCCTTTCTTTGGTCCAAAAAAGCCCAAATGTGGTGTTGATCAGAACCTGCTGCAAGGGATACTCAGGCTTTTGGAGAGGAAAGAGCATAATAAGGGCTGTTTTTGGAGGGGGAGACAACATTGCTTGAGCTTGATTTATTGTAGGTCAGAGGAGCAGCTATTAGCTTTATTTTGTACTTTTAATATCTGACAAAAGTGCCTGAATAGGCATGGGGTGGTGGTGGGTTTGTACATACTTACTGTAAATCAAAATACATAAATACTTGTGAGAGTAAGAATTCCAGACTAGCTTCCAGTCCTGCAATCACTTACTACTGTGTGCGGAGTCGCTGATGTCCGCTCCTAATAATAAGCACTGGTCCCAGCAGTAAAAAAATCACAGAATCAGGCCCAGAGATTGTCAACTGCTCTGAAACTGAAAACATGTTTTTGTTTGTTTTTTTAAATTGAAAACCAAGTTTCCTCAATTATGAATATGAAAGCAAAGACTGGACATTTGTGTTGAATCGTTTCATAAGTTTCTGCCAAAATGAATTAAATCATTGGGTAAATAAAGGACAAACTGGGGAATAGCCACAATCAAGAGTGGCAAAGCTTTTGTTGGCAGTATGCAGACAGTGAAATGCAGACAGAAGTATAAACAATGAATGATGGAAATGCAGTTTCCAATATGTACACTTGCAAAGCAACTCTTTGTGTCAGACAGTATATTTTGTAACCATGATCTATTTATATCCTAATTTTAATGCTATGGTAGAGAATGTGATTTTTTACATACAGTGATTGCACCTTTCCTGGTAAATTATACAGTCGTCCTGATAAGCAGTATCTATATATATATATATATATATATATATATATATATATATAAGCAAATACTACTTATAAATGGTATTTTGCAGACCACTGCATATTAGTTAATGGTGTGGAGGGGGGGAGTTACACATTTGTTGTCTTTAAACCTTAATCTTTGATTCACATATTGTGCTGTCTTGCAAACAGCTTTAACCCTTGAAATATTCATCACAATTTCTTTCTTCAGAGTTAAAGAAGCAGAGGAAGTGTGCAGACAGAAAAAGGGGAAATCGCTTTATAATATAAAGCCAAGACATGATTCTGGAATAGTAAGAATGGATTGCATTATTATTATTATTATTATTATACTGCTCCTGTTAACTTTTTCTTTGTTCTTTTTACATTTTGTATGTACGCTATCCTGACATATTTAGTTAATATTTATTTTTAAATGTGTCTGAATTTAGCATTTTTGTGAAAGGTGCCAGATTGACAACCCTGAAGTCCTATATTTATCCACAGAAGAGATACAGCTCAGGTAGTGGCAGTGAAAATTTCCCCACTGTGCCCTGCCAATGTGCCTCGTCCCTTGAACCTGGAAGAGACGGACCTTTGTGGGTGAGGAGGTAGTTCAATCTCCAAACCCATCCAGTGCACAGCCCCACTGCTCAGACTTCCAATTGTGATGGGGGATTTTGTGATGAGGTCACCTGTCCCCTGGGAGTTGGACCTATTAGATGCCAGTGACTGTAAGTCACTACATACCTAGACTGGGTTAGAGACAGAGATCTAGAAAAAGAAGATACTCTACTTTTACTAATCTCTTGAGCTATATACAGCTCCCTATAAACTATGGCCTGGATCCTGAAGATACTTAGCATCAAAGACACATCTTCAGTTTTAAGCACACGAGTAATTCCTTTTAATTTCAGTGGTCATCTACTCAAATGGCTAAAGTTAAGTGCATGTATAAGCATTTTCAGGACATGGGCCTATTTTACAATGGCTGGATTTTTTTTCGCAGCAGAAAATTAATCTGGTCCCTAATTTTCATAATGTCTGTCCATGCTTCTTTTTTGGCAATATTTAAAAATGAATGACTATTTCCTTGGTCATGTTTTTTTCCTAAAAACATGATTCCGTTTGGTTTGTATTTAATGCTGTTTTATGAATCATTGTGACATGTGACACATGTCCTTGAAATGAAACGTTGTCATTTACCATAATCTCTCTGGCATAATCCAACACACGAAGAAAAGAATTATTGCTGTTGTTTCTCGTTGTAACTGGCTGTGGTTAGTGACACAGGAAATGTAAATGAAGTAATAGCTTGGCTAGGAATGGTAACTAGATCTTAGTTTATCAACTTTATTTGTAATCACATCAAGATGTAGGTTTTAAAAACTTGGTTGGTTGGATTTTTCCACTTTGTAAGAATAAAATCATGCGGATTAATGGCATTCTTTAAGAACAGCCATGCATTTAAATAACATTTATAATTATTTGTATTGCTATTGTGCCTAAAAGCCCTAAGTGGGGATCAGAACTCCATTGTGCTAGACACTGTACATACAACAAAAGGATGGACCCTGCCCCAAAATGCTTACAATATAAACGGAGTTACAAATAGTATTAAAAAATAGATATTTCACAGACATGGTTAGCCATCTTGTACTTTAAATCTGTTTAAAACTGAGTTTGTTGCAGGGTGTTATAAGTAAACTATATATTGGATACACTTGATGATCAGCCTACATATCCCTGTGCTTTACATAGTTGCATAATACATATGTTTATATATGGTAACTTGTTTTCTTATGGTATTTCTTTTTAGAAAGCAAAGATAAGTATGAAGATCTGAGAGAAGAAAAGCAAAACCCATTGCCACTCGATCAGTAAAACTCAACGTGTCTGTTGGGGGCGGGAAAGGAAACTACATCATTCAGATCATTTGTTTTCTTCTTGGCCTTTCAAATTTGCTTTTTGTTCTCTAGAGTTTCTCACTGATAGAATGTGTAGTGTACATTCATGAATGAATGTGACCACTGTAATGGAGTGCCCAGCAATAGACTAGTTATGGACATGAGACAAGTTCCCTATATCCCATGCCTCATTCTCCACCCAAACACTGGCATTTTGTAAAGTTTATGGTATAATACCAGTAGACCAAACCAGCATGCCTAAGAGGCAGCATCTGCATCAGTTCTGAACATGCTGAAAATTCTATTTAAAGTTGAACTTCACAAGAATGCTACTTGATACAGTAACATATTTCCATTCCTACTGGCAACATCTGTCTAACACAAATACTCCATGGCACTGCATTTAGATTAGGGAAAGAAATGTTACTTCTAGTGAATTGTTTGTATCCGTTTCACGTCGACATTTGTCGTTTGTATTTTGAATCGTTAAGTGCTGTTTATAAAGTATAATCAATGCTTTCTCAACTTGTTTGGTTGCCCTCCATGACTAAATATTTGTGGAACAAGATGTTTACCGTAACTATCTTTAAAATCGATAAGGCAGCATACTTTTTCTTCATCTTTTGCCAGATAGTGAGTAGTGGGAGGGGGAGTTGGAAAACCTGAACCAAAAACATTTAAGTGAAAAGCAGTAAACACAGAAAATCACAGGAGTACTTCAGAGCATAAAAGAGAAACTTAGGCACTTTAGCTTGCTAACATGTAAAGCAGCTCATTTGTATACAGAAAAACTTAAGGGGTATTACAGTTATATTGCTGATTATTTGAGTGATACAAGATTCTCAGGACTACCATGTTGCTAGCCAGACTTCCTTTTTGAATTATCTTTTCAATTAATTTAAGACTCCCTTTATCAGGGATATTAAAAGATCTATCTAGGGATTGGCATTCGAGAATTACAGTAGTCAACTCTCGGGACAAAACAAAGGCTATTGACTAATTCATGTCAATTTCACATTTAACATCAGAGTCATAACATTTTCTCTCTAAGTAGTCCATACCATTGGCTAGGAGGCAATGGAAATCTGTGACTATGCTTTCCTTTTTAATCCACATGATTGATTTCTATTTGTGATCTGGAAATTAACCTAAGGATTTCTCAGTTTTGATTTGTTGAGCCAATAAAGACCCTCTGCCCTAGATATAACTACTGAGCCCAACATGAATTGGCCTTGTAACTGTTCTCTTCCAAAGCACTATTTTCTTGGAAACAGCAATGTGTGGAATGAATTGGGTTCACATGCTCACAATCTCTTAGCATTGAAGACACTAGCAGCATAAACTTCTGAGTGGCTTGAGGTTTAACCTGCTGGGGTGGATTATTCCCTGTCTAGCCTAGTATATCATAAGACATTCCTGGTGGTCCAGAGGCAAATGTACTGTACCAGGTGTCATAAGGGCAATGTAAAATACAACCGCAGGAATCCATTGTTCTTCACGTATGCTAAGCACTAGAAAAGATGTTCTTCACTTGTGTGAAAAATAAGTCTCCTGTAGCTTGATAAAACTATGTGAAATTCTGTGTTCACGATAATTTCTGGCAAGAATATGATTACCGAGAATTGAGTTCTAAAATCATGTGGTGGTGGGAGTAATGTTACTTCTTGCAAAAGGGAAAAGAGATTATTTGCTGTTTATGAGTAACCTATGGAAAGTAACTTAAAAATAAAGTTTATTTTAATGGCACTGATTCAAACCCATGTTTGTATTTATGTAAACTATAGTCTTTTGCTCTTAACTTTTGCATTTATTTTTATTTACGTGCAAGGATACAGTCGCATGTTTTGGTTTTGTAGCCTTCCTGTTCCCTTCAGTACCTCCAGTATGTATATGACCATACTAAATGAATAATAGGATATCTAACAGAGATCGCTATGTGCAATACTGTATTTAGTGTTTCTACTTCAATTTTTTTAGAATGTTAATTTATATGAAAATAAAAGGAATAATGAAACGAAAGGTGCTTTTTTTTCTTCAGTGATCATTATGCTGTCTCAAGGAGGGCCCTGGCTCAGCAGAACTAGTGTGATTCACTTGTGGAAAGGGGTTACTCCTTATTCCTTAGCATGCAGGGAGAAGGTGTTGGGCAGCAAATCCACAGCTATATGGATATCTCCTTTACGCAGGGCCATGGAGGGACTTCTACAGCTCTATTCTATTTTATATAAGATCTCCTACTACTTTCACTGCATTGTATATGAGTGCCTTCCAACAGTGCATTAAGCAAGGTGACCATCATCTCTCGTCTGGTTCATTCTCTCACTCTATGGCTGTGAAGCTGTTCTGTGGCCCAAATAGAGGATTCTTCCTTGTATCTAATCCCCAGTCCTTGGTTCCACATAGGATTTGTCCCTAAAAATATAGGGAAGCTAATAGTCTGGTGAAATGGATATTTGGACAAAGACTTTGTGTACCTACACAGATGCTTCGCTGCATATAAAATATGAAGCAGTTAATTAATACATCATCTAGTAATCTAGTGTCGCTACCATGTGCATCTCTCACTATTTCCGGCTGTAGTATAGAACCAGTTGCACATGTAACATGGATAACCCAAGTCACATCTGAGTGATCAGTTTCTAAAAGCAGAGTTTCAAGAGGTGGCAGCAGCTGGTAGCAACGCAGAAGGACTTTTAGGATACAGGCAGCATGAATGGTTTTCTAACTTTTTCATATCCTTGGACCAATTCTTCCTTTTACACTATGCCTCCTAGTCCAGATTCCATACCTACCCCATTGTAATGATAGTGCTTGGTGAGTTGGAAAAAGTAAAATCAATCATGGGTCTAGATATTTATAGCACACCTCTCCTTGTTGGTATTAGGACACCATTAAGGACACTAGATGTAAATATGGCTTGTAAATGTGGTAGATGTGTCTAATTTGTTTAATTCTCCTCTCTGGTTACAAAAGATTATATCTAGCAATCTACCTTCATTGCCCACCGTTTGAACTAATATTATAGTACTCCTGTATCCAGGTCATGATGTAGCTTTACAGACCACTTGGAAGTTGGAAATACTCTATAGTTTTAGAACCAATAGGTAACACTGGTCATAAAACACCTTCCACATCAGCAATCCATCATACAGGTGCATTGCATGGTAATAAATAGGGGATAGTTTAAAGAGAGGATCCTTTCAGTCTTCTCAGCCAGGTTTGATACTGCAGTGCAGCATCTCAGAGAGGGGAAATGGACTTGCCTTTAAAATAAAATATAACAGTACAGAATGAAGGGCTGATAAAGGTAAAAAGAGTGGCTGAATATCCCGAGTCCTTAATTTGGAGAAGCAGGAAGCCCTTTTGTCATACTTTCTTTGATGGGATACAGATGGATTTTTGGGGATGCTGAGATGCCTGCAACCAAAATATGGTTGACATATGAACTACAAGGTTTGAGGTTTTTTGTAGGTATTGACTCTTATGACAAGTTGCCTCATTGAAAACGTACTGGGCTCCCACAGGCCCGTCTGCGGAGCCTCACGTGACCCCCCCCCCCCCCCCTTTGCCATGTCCAGTCTGCTGCTTGTGCCGGACAGCCCTGCTTATTCCCTGGAACCTGCATAGTGCAGCTCATTGCCCTCCATGCCATAATAGGTAACAACGAAATGCCACTCAAGCATCTTTGTCAGAATGACTCCGCTCTGGTGAAGTGAGGTGATGTGCATTTCTCTTTTTCAGGCTGTATAAATACTAATTCACTTCGTAACGTATACGGTTTAATTCTCTTTTTCAGGTTCGATCTTGTGAATTCCTCCAGTGCATTTGTACATTTATATGGCAACCACTTACCCCTTCAAGCTCCATTAGCATATGCAGAGAAAAAAGAACGGAGGCTTTGGGCTTCCTCCTGTATAAACTTAGCACTGCTGAATTCAGGAAGCAATGTGGCCTTGTTATATGTATTTAAATAGAGAATGTTAACGTGCAAAACTATTTGGTTTACATTGAGTCTCTGGCAAAGTCTGTAAGCACAAGAGATCAACAGAGAGCTAGAGATGGGGACAATACTTTGAGTAAAGAAATTACCCCACCTCACCCTTTTAATAAAGACTAAGGGACAGATCCTCAAAGGTATTTAGTGCATTAACTCCCCTATTAAAATCAATGGAAGATACTCCAGCTCCTCAAAGGTACTTAGGAGCCTATCACACTTCAGTATCAACACTGCAATGCAGTGTTGAAATGAGGGTTTTTTTAATATAGCATCATGGGCCAAATTCACCGAGAAAGTGCTAAAGTTTTGTTAGGCTGGGACGTGTTCATCTCTACTGTATCTCTGTATTTGTCACTCCAATTCCCAGCTCCTGGGAAAGACACTCTTGTTCTTAGGCAAGCTGAATGATAGGTGTTGCTGACAGCTACACTTAAACCCTAAATTGTGCTTCATCTTCTACTATCTCCAGTTCCCCTGAAGTTTCTGCATCTTTCAGGGTAGCCAGGATTTTTTTTCTTTGTCATTTCTCATCAGTCACCACTAGTGGCCACTCTCCAACATGCATTGGAACACCTAATGCCTAGGTATCTTGCCATCCAGTGGAATCATCAGCCTCGACTTAAATGCCCCGTATATTGTAGGGGGAGCATTAGGTGCCTAAGAAAAGGATTCTCAGAAGCCAGCAAGCTGAAGAAGCTACCCACCAGTGAAATGAAGAAAACAAGGGAAATAGTTAGGCCCCAAAGGCTAAATCCCATTGACCTGGGTCTTGGAGCCTTGACTGACAGGCCACATCAAGGCTCCTCTCTGCTCAGGATTCTTAACCTCCTGGGGCTAGGGGCCTGAACCAGGTCAACCCTTTCTGGTGAAAAACCAGAGAGAGATTCCACCGACCAATTATAGCCAATTGCCCAGTAATCAAAGCACTCACCTGAGATGTGGGATACCTGTTTGTTTGCAAATCTCTGTTCTGCCTGAGTTGGAGGAAGGATTGAACCCAGGTCTCCAGCGACCTTGGTGAGTACCCTGATCACCAGGCAAAAGGTATTCATGGCACTCTCTAGCTATCTTTCCTGTGGAAGCTGTTCCACTTTGTGTTAAATAATTACATATTCACTGGGCCAGACAAAGGTTGATGCCACATCCTGACGATTAGACCACTCATCTGGGAGACCAGCTTCAAGTCCCTGCTCCCAATCAGGGAGCATGAGGTTTTTGAACCTGGCTCTTCTGCGTCCCATGGGAGTGCCTACATTTAATAGCTTTTGGATAGTGTGAGAAATCCTGGACTTAGTTGTGTGTGGGGGGGGGGTAGGTATGCGAAGAGCACACATTAAGCCAGTTGCTTCCAACATAAGTGTGAACAATTCTATTGCAGTCAATGGAATGGTTTGCACCTAGGGATTAGTGCCAAAAGGGATTTGGGCACCTGCCACATTAGCTAACTAGCTTCTAAAGCCAGAATATCTAAAACCCTGTTCAGCTGCTGCCTAATCCTGGAGATGCTTTCAGTCTCTAGGCACCCAAGTTTCCATTGGTAAAGGGTTAGGATTTAGGCATGTGCACTGATTCCTGAACCCAGCTCATGCTTAAGCCTCAAACTAGGGGTGCCCTCATGGGTAGGGCCCTGTCTGTGTTAAAAGTTATAAAGGCAAAAAAGGGCATAGGAACCTAGCTCCAGAAGGGGGCGGGAGGGCATGGCTATGAACCATGAGCAGAGTGCAGTGCTGGACTTCAGTGCCTAGGCCCAAAGGGGTTTAGGCCTCTAACTCTTATTGAACAGTGCCTAAACACATTTGAGGGGCTCAGCCCTAAGACCCTTGCCTCATCCCTACTGGCTAGCTTATGTAGCATTCCTCCCCCTGCCATGGGGTGGCTTCTTAGGTTCCCATAAGCTCCCCAAGCATTGCACAGGGAGCCTGTGTGGATCTAGGCCTTAGTAAATTTGGCACATTAGCTGCAAGATCAGCAGTCACTTGCAATGTTTTGGAGCCCACACGAATTTTCATGGTGAAAGCTGCATGAGGTACTCTATACTTTTACATTTCAATACATATTGCTCATAAGCCTGTCCAGCTGGAGTCTGTTCCTGATCACGCTCCCACACCTGAACCCTCTGCCCCAGGTCAGCATGCCCTCCCACACCCTAACTCCCTCTCAGAGTGTACACCCCCTGCCCCAGCCCAGTGAAAGTGGGTGGGGGAGAGCAAGTCATGACAGGAGGGGAGATGGGGGTGGGGCACAAGGCCTCAGGGAAGGGGCATTTGGTTTTCATGAGACTAGGTACTACACCATTAGCCAACTTTTTAATTACTCATGGTACTACACAATATGAATAAACCTAAGATCCTCACAGTTCATGGGTACAGCTGTGAGCTCTGGTATCATGATTGGCAGATTTTTTTTTTCTCCCTACAGTGATGTGAAAAATACACAGCTTGGTTTGTTGTAACGGTTTTCAGATTTGGCTGCTCTTTTACCAGCGACACTGCAGCTGAAAGTTCCAGCCTTGCTTCAAAACCAGAATAGCGCATTACGCCCCCTTACTTAAGCAAATTGCATCATTCTAAATTATTGCTTCCATGCCTGATATACAGATGTGGCTCACTGAGAATGAGAATTCCAGTGTGGCTTTTATAAGTGGTTATAAAAGGCTTGTGTTGTTTTGAGTTGCAAATTGAAACCTTCAGGCCGTATGGTACTTCAATGACTATGTGTCTAGTGATTTAACAGTACTTAGCACTTTCATCCCTCTATCTCAGAGCACTTCACAAAACTAAGTATTAACAAACCTACTTTTACAGATGAAGAAACTGAGGCAAAAGTTTTTTTTTTAAATTAATACTTACATGGTTGTAATCACCATAGTGTCTGAGCCCCGTCATATTTTGGTTTTCTTACCTCCCCTGTGAGGTAGGGAAGTACTAATATCACTCATTTCTGTGCTTTTAAGGCTCTCAGAACACCCCTAAAGCAAGAGAAACTGATGACTGTGGGTGTGTACACACACACACACCCCTACCTACAGCTGCAGGTAGCCTGAAACAGTAACTAAGGCATGTTTGCAGTAGAGGTTTGTACCTGGAGTTAACGGACTGCCAGTTAGCATGTGAGTAAAGGCTCTTCTGGGCCCTCTGCAATCATCTGTAGTTCAGCCTAGGCTCATCCCACATGAGTTCATGTTTCAAAACTCTAGTGTAGATATACCCAAGAGGTAGGCAATGACATATTAATCCCAAATCAGGGCCCTGTGGAGTCCGTAATTCTATGATGACTATATGGCATGTTTTCAAGGTGTCACAGAGTGTGCAGCTGGGTACCCAGTGTTTATTCTATTTATCTGGAAGGATCTGCCATGCTCTCCCCATACTTCTCGGGGGAAGATAATCCCTCTATCTTTGCACTTATCAGGTAGCTGGAGGCTGGAAAGGCATAGCTAGGGCTAGATCCATCCAAAGAGGGATTTAGGTTCCTTAACCCCAAATTTAGATCCTCAAAACCCCTGCTCAGCTGCTAAATCCTGACCGCTAGCTCACAGTTAAGCCCCAACAGGATTCTCAAATGAGATTTTACCCCACTCCACCTATCACACCCAAGGAACCTAATCCCATAGGCATGCTCTGAGCTCACCTAGCCAAGGAGAGAAAAGGTATCCCTTTGTAACCTTTACTTATTGGCTAAAGTGCTCACACAGAAGAGACCAAGGTTCAAACCTTGACTCTACCCAATACAGAGCAGGGCCTTGAACCCAGGCCTATGACCCCCTACCCCGGGTGATGGTTTTCCCTCAGTTTCTGCAGGTGAAGCTGTTCTACCTTATAAAAACAACTTGAATAATCACTGGCCCAGAAGGCAGGTGGGGAAAATGACTCTGTAGCATGGTGGTTAGGGCACATACCACCTTTCTCAGCATTCCCTAGTGACTCCTTAGGTGTGTCAGACGCAAGTTCTGCTAACGGAGATTCTTCTTGCACTCAAGTAGCTAAGACCCATCCCTTTTGAAGCAGGATCTGAATCATTAAGTTTATTAAATGAAATAAGCAGCCCCCTCAACACTTACAGCTACCTTAGAACAAGGTGCTCTATGATGCATCTTGAAGGCAAAATGTATTTGGCTCACACACACACACACACAAAAAAATCTTACTTTGGAAGTTAAACTAACCCTTATAAAGTGTAAGTTTCACAAGTCTCAGTCAGTTGGAATGAAACCAAACAATTATAAAAGACATTTTGCCAAAGGCTGTTAAACTTGGAAGAATTTATTTTGTGGAGGACAAATGACAAGCAGCGGGAGAGCCACACACTCCTGACACCTGCTATGCAACCATCTTCTCTCCAGTTCAACCCAATCACTAGAAATCTTGGCCACTCTCTTCCTTGCAATATCAGGGCAAGTGCATAAGGCATCCCTTTACTTCCTTAGAAAGGCTATCTGCATTGTGGGTAGCACCATGTAGGCTGAAGCATGACACAGGACAGCCTCTGTGGACAGGCAGGCCAGCCATTGGTGGAGCCTTAGCTCCGCCCTCACAAGTCATTGGCCAGCATAGCTGAACCAGCATTTGTGAGTGGGATGTTATTTACCACACATAGGGCTAGTGAATGTTATTGCCCCTCCTCATTTCCAAGCAAGAAGGTAACTCAAGAGCAGGTTGTAACTGTCTTGTTCCCACGCGCTCCCAAGGTAGCACAAATACATATAGTCTTTTGTCCGAGTCTTGTGGCAAATTCGAAATGGAGCCCTCGCAGAACCGGAGACTGAGCCAATACACCATCAGTTAAAATAGTGGTAAGAGATTCTGAAGTTAGAAGCAAAGCCCACACACCTGGAATCCATATAACCCTAGAGTATCTTTATTTGTTCTATAATTTAACAGTACACCTATAAAATAATTATAGCATTTCTTCATTTTTTTTGTTTTCATTTATAAAACAAGAATTAAATACAGTTTGAACCATTACAAGCTCTATTCAGTTTTTACATACAAACAGCCCCAAGGAGGAGCTTCATGCTGCAGCATATTCATATTGCAAGTTGGTAAGAAACCCTGCTTGGGTGTAGCTTAATAAGCATTCTTGCATATTTTTTCCTTAAATAATTTGTAGAGTTAATATAATTAAGAAGGGCCCAGAGAATTTCTATCTAGTTTTAACCACATGGGCCTGGCTTTACAATCTCTTCCTTCAAGGACACACTCATAATCCTAGAACCCTAATGGGTTGCAGGCATTTCAAACTCCCTCTCTACTGTCAAAAAGCTCCCAATAACCTAGATCCAGCAGTGCCCATTTGTATGGCTGACAGTGTAGCAGTACCAGCCTCTAAAGCAAGCCCTAGACTAGGAATCTCCCTTGGCAGCTCTGACATTGTGTAACAACAAGGCAGAAAATACATGCAACGTAGCTGTAACAATGTAGGGATAACATACCTACCCGATCCCATCCTCCCCGTGCCAATCCCCATAAACCGATTGGTGAGCTCTAGCAGAGATCAGTACCAAAAGCCTCTTAAAGCAGCCTGCCTCGCATAATAGTGAACTATGCCATTGAACTCATAGCTGGCAACAGTTTGTAACACTTTTAACCCTTTGGATTGGTCATTCCTGAAGACGTTGCCAGAGAAGTGCTCCACAGGCTGATTTCACTAGCCCAGAAGTATTGCAGATGCTAAGCTATAAGACATGCAACAAGGTCACACATTAGTCTCTTGTATTAGTTTCTGTGCTCTTTGATTAACTTGCTGCATTTAAAGAGAAGACATTACAGCCACTGGTCTTAGACATCTGAACCGGAACATACTGAATATACAAACATGCTAAAGTTTGGTGAGTGAGTAACTTACTATGGACTTTAAACTAATTGAAATATCCATCGATTCATTATACCCCTATATCAAAAATGTAATGGGGCAACAGTGCTGCAGTAGTTACAACAGCTTATTCCCGCCCAATTTGTAAAGGATGGGACAGAACCCTTTCTCATTTCTGTAGCTGTGACCACATTCTACAATCACTTGCTAGCCTACTCTTCCCTCAACGTGACAAAGGTCACTTGATTCCCATTCGCTGTGTGGAAGATGCCACTCCCGACACCTGAAGAAACTGATATGTAAGGCAGCTTTTGTATTCAAAGCAACAATGACTGCAATCTGTCCTTTGTGCTGCAATGCTTTAATAACTTAAGTGAAATACTGCTCCTACAACTGTTTTAATACCCTCCCCGCAAACCCACCCCTCGCAGGAATAAATACACAGTAATAACTGGATGGGTTTCGGAACAAACTAAGGCAGAATCTACTGAAAGCCCACTCAAAACCTGTCAGTTTCATGTCAGGTGACTGACCTAGCAATCAAGTCTATTTACTCAAAAACACTTTAATCTAATCTTCGGAATATTCTGCCACAAGAAAAATATACATGGCTAGGTCTAATAATATTTTAAACAACTTTACTATAGCTAGGTTACAAAATAAACATTGCCGTAGAGACTGTGTGTGTGATATAGTCAAATTGCAACAGCACAAGAATCCATCTTCAGTCTGTTGACGGAAAAGCAGGGGCTGCTGAGAGAGCTGTGGCTGGCCTAACGTTCCCTCTCCCCGTGCTTATCTCCATCTCAGACAAGGAGTGCAGAGCCATTCTGTCATCCAACGTGAGAGTTCCTGGATCAGGCTCACTGCCCCTCCCTTTCTTTGAGCACTGTACTGTATCCCAAAGCTGCACCTCACAGCTGCAGGTGGCAGCACCAAGCACTTAAATAGGAAGGTGAAAAGCTCCAGACTGAACACTGAGTGAGACGGAAAGGTAGCGAGACACATTTTCTTCCCACAGAAAGGACTGGAGTGTAGGGCAGAGGGTTTTTCCCACATAGTGGGAAATGCTGGATTCAGCCATCGCTCACCTAGATGATCATCAATCCCAAATTCGGAGAGGCCGGCTCCACCCTTAAAGATTCAATTGCAAGATGATTAGATCGGAAATATGCTGAGGTTTTATGGCAAGGTGCCTAACATAGCCCAGGCCAAGCTTTATTTCCAGTAGGCAAATGACAAGTGAGCCTTCCCTGCTAGAGAGATGCATCCTGAAGAAAGAAAACCAGACAATGAGTCTGCTCAGGGAAGAGGAGAGACAGCAGCAAATCCGATGGGGTGATGCCAAGCAGTAGCCAGATACTTGCTTTCACTGTTTGTCAGAGTTGCTGAGGTTCACAGACATACACCTGCACTGCTTGACTTTCTGGATTTTCTTGAGTCTGAAAGGTGGATCCAGCTCAGGGCACTCCAGCTCCACAGTGAAGGAGGTGACTTTCTGAGGCTTGCAGAAAGCACAGGACTGGAAGGATTCCTCATCCTTTTTCACGTGCCGGGGGATGTAGAAGGAGTTGCACTGGCCATAGCAGAAACGGTTGATGATGGTGCGGCTTATGCAGCCCTCCTCGCTGACTGTCTGCCGCAGGGGTTGGGTTTTGCACCAGTCACTTTTAAGGTACTTCCTCTCAGTGACCACCAGGGCCTCCTGGCTGGAGGCCAGTACTTCTTTGTTCAGATGCTGCCTCCTCTCCGAGTTGTTGCTTGTGCTATCTTTGTAGGGAGATGGAATTGCTCCTGCAGGTCGGTTTTTCCTGGTATCTGTTACTTTAACCAAGGCCGCCACCAGAAAAACAGATAAGGCAAGTTTCCAGAGCATCCTGCAAGAATAATACAAGTGACTGTTAGAAGACATAACACTTCAGCACAATTTGCCTTTATTTTATCAGCACAGATATTTTCCCATCACAGCAGCAGCTAGACAGTGTTCACTAAAGAATTGTAGATATGGCTATTATACTCTTCATTCACCTTAGGAGAAAGGGAATGTTTTCTATTTGCCATAACTTAAGTCTGTTTCTTCTGCCCCGTTGAAGAAATCCCTGCCATCATGTCTAAAATCATCAAGTGTTGGACACAGGACATGGCAATGAAGAAATGAAGGGACCAGTAGATTATCTAGTCTGACCTCCTGCTTAACACAGGCCACAGAATTGTATCCAGTTACTCATATATTGAGCCCAATATACAGATTTATTTCATTGTATTTAAGTCTACATAGTTTATTAATGGAGCTGGGATATTAAGATTTAAAATCTGTTTAGTTCCCTAGCAGAACGGCTAGTTTTTAGCACTCAATGGTCACCACGTATGCCAGCAGGATGGGTTTCTGGCCACTGGGAGACACAGCCCGGCCAAGACTCACCTACAGTAAGAATTCACTACTTCTTCCAAACCTTTTAACTACCATTTTCTCATTGATAAATTGATCATTTTGCCACCTTATGGGTAAACTGCGCAAACCATCAGTTAACAGAAGCTAGACCTGAACTAACTTCTCCCCACCAGGAACAACTGGGAGACCAGTTGGCTAAGTTTCACAAGTCAAATAAGGTCTGCCAATCTCCTGAAAGCCCATCTGTGCAACCCCAGTCAGATGGGAAAGAAATAAAGTAAAATGCGACTTCACAGTATATAATCCTGTTTCAAGCTTTGGGGTTCCAATTCTAGTCTAGTTCCAAATCATAATACAGTCAGCTATCAAGCGGTGTCTACCAGAATAATCTCCTTCACATTTCTTCTGAAGTTTCTGGGGTTTTATGTATTTTGCTGTCAGAGTGAACTTATATATTCCCGAGTGGCTCTAAGCGGCCACAAAATTGAAAGACAACAAATGCACAACTATTACGAGGAAATATACAAGTACAATACATTGTTAATCTGTTGGACTCATTGCTACAAGGTCCTTTAGGTGAATAATTTAGTATGATTAAAAGAGAAGCACACATATATGGATAAGACTTTTTTTTTTTTTTTTTTTTTACAAAGAATAAGCCAGTCACTAACTGAGACATTAAGAAATTTTCCCAGTTAGCAGATTATTCCATAATTGTCCATTACAGTTTCCTGCATCTGGAACTGGCCACTGTTAGAGACAGGCCACTGGATTTCATGAACCAATCATTTGATCCAGTCTGGCAAGTCTTATGTTCCTGAAGGTCATCACTCTCTGTAGGAGGAAGTTAGGCCACCTGTACAGAATTCCCTTTGACACGTTAGGCCTAAACCTTCACAACACCCTCAAAAGTATTTCTGAGGAAATAGGAACAAGAAAATGTACGGCAATAGAGACACAAGAGTAGATTAGTACTGTGGTAAGTGACAGTTTCCTCTGATTTAGTACTGAAATGATCCAGTATGGTATAAGGAGATGCTGGGCTTTGGAGTTGGTAGAGACACATACACATCTACCCACACCCCCCTAAATTAGCAAATAAACAAACTGGCTTGCAAAGGTACTAAGTGTCCATTGATCTCTTTGGTGCTTTAAATAAATGGCCTATTTTCAGCATGCTTAACATTCAGCACATTAATACTCAGATGAAGACTGGATAAAACTCTTGGAAAAGGTTCTCTGCAGATTCACCACCAAGACCATTGGATGTCAACCCTGGTATCCAAGCCAAAACCTAATCAGATAGCTACAGTCCCACATTTAGTTTCAGTTTGATATAGGTATCCCACACTTCCTCAAACTGATCTCACATTATTGTGCACTTGTAGCCGCACTCCAGTAATGGGTGAAATAATCTATCCCCATGTTGTTTATGAACGTTCATTCTCCACATGGCTCATGACACATACAAAGCCCCACAAACTATTACAACTTCATGTCAGACAGACAGAGCCACTCCACTTACCCTATTGCTCTGTCCTAAACTAGGAGGTCCAAGTGTTGTTCATCCTTTTAGATCACCACATTTCTAACCACATGGGTGCCTCTTCAGAGCCGTGCTAACCTGCAAATCACTCCCTCTTAAACCCAGGCACTGTAAGCCGCACAAACTGTATTCAAGAAAACAAAAGGTACATACAACCTGGTGACAGAAACATTCCATGCACTATATATTCCAGGTAACCACCACAAAAAAGAAAAGAAACCTCAATGAAAGCACAGCAGCATTTTGGAGAAGCCTACTCTATAGGTGCAAAAGTAACATGGTGAATGTTAAGTTGATTTTGTTTCTGAATAGGCTGGGTCCACTGAATATAGGCAGCTGGCAATAATGGGCCAGAGCCTCAGACCCAGTTCCATTCCACCCAAGATTCACAAAGGGGATTTAATCTGGCCACAACTGGCCAGGTGAGCATTCCTCCAGCAAAGGGGAAAAATCTCAATTAGCATAAAGGCAGTGGAGCCCATCTTCACACCATTCTTACCTGCAGTATAAAAGTAGAGCAGAGGTAAGCTTCCCTAGGACAATTCTCAGAGGGCATAAAGCTGCTTAAGGACCATAGCCAGCTGTTATAAGTGAAAGCAGAAGCCCCTACAATGCTGTAACTTACATAAGAGCTGGAGCTAGGGCACCTTGACAAACAAGGAGGTGTAACTTGTTCCCTGGCCCCACCCATTGCCACGTGTGTCTTGGTGCAGAAAAGAATTGCGCCCGATGTCTTTGGTTCAGCTGCATTTCTACTGCATGTGTTGAATTTGGAACTGTGAGATAGCGGACACTAGATCAACTTTGGGTTCTTAAAAACTCATGGAAACATACATAAATCATGAGATTAAAAAAAATGTTTATAGCTACAATGATCTATGGAGTCATAATATTCCCGTGAAAAATAAGCCCTGCCTTCTAACAAGCCATCAGGCCTCCATCACATGCTCTACAAAAAAGTGAGCTGTGGAAAGACAAAGTTTTGACTTCTAGTGATTTGCCTTTAAAATAAAAAAGAGCCTCCTGACTTTAAACCAGGAAACAGCTTATAAAGTCAGGCTCCTCCTTTGCTATTCATTGTTATGGCATTTTGCAGCTGTTAAGGAGCAACTACTGCAGGAATAACACCAAGTCAGATGAGGTCTGACGGTATAACGTGTGGGGGGAGGCCCTACCCTGCTGCCAGAAGTCACACTTATTGATTAGAGGTTAAACATCACTTAGAAAAATATAATCATAATGAGTTCTCCCCCAAGGTTGGCTGCTACCATCAGCGCCCACAAGAGTCCTGGCATAAGGACTATCTCCTAAGATCTAGCTCCCTTTGGTAGAAGGCTAGTCACAGAACGTCAGGGTTGGAAGGGACCTCAGGAGGTCGCCGTCTAGTCCAATCCTCTGTTCAAAGCAGGACCAATCCCCAACCTCTTGAATCTGTGGTGAAGAGGGAGAGAGAAGTTTAATAAGCCGTATCTACTCCAGTGAGTTAGCAGGAATGAAGGGCTTGTCTACACAAGCAGCGCTGCAGCTGTGCCACTGCGGCGTGTCTGATGAAGACGCTGTACGCCGACAGGAGACAGCTCTCCCACTGACGTCACAAAAACCACCTCCGGGAGAGGCAACAACGACGTCAGCAGGAGCAGCTCTCACACCAACATAGCGCTGTCCACATCAACGTGTCACTTATGTCGCTCAGGGATGTGGGGTTTTTTTGGTTTGTTTTTTGTTTGGTTGTGTTTTTTTGTTTGTTTTTTTTAAAAACACCCTGAGTGAAAGTTATCCTGACAAGAGTGCTAATGCAGGCATGGCCTAAGTAGCCGCGACTTGCGGCATTCCAACACCTTCTAACAGGGTGGGACATCATCAGACCCCTCCCATTCTATTGTTAGAGGGCTACAGTGGCAGCTTGCCAGGAGAACACGCATTTAAGCTTGTATATATTTGTAAGACGTGAACAATGCTATTATCAGAAACTCAGATTCAGTGAAATTCTAGCCATTGCAGTCAATAACTTTTTACCAAGAGGTCACCCATTTATGCTCATCTGTCTCTCTGTAGGCTTCCTGGTCCCTTGGCACTGGATCTTCCAGACCCTTGTAAAGGTTAGTTGATAATTAAGGTTAATTTATTTGTAACTTATTGAAGTATTCAACTTAGCTCTGTAGTGAGTCAAGTACAATACATGTAGCCATCTAGGAACTTCCAGCTTACATATTATAATTAGAGCTGGTCAGAAATGTTCCAATGGAATGTTCTCCTGGCAGAACACACTGATTTGGCAATAGCAACGTGGGAACATATTGATTTCAAAATTTCATTGGAAAGATGTCTAGTTTCCTGTCAGCTCCCCCTGCTTGCTCCTCAGCAGCTCACCTGGTAAGACCCAGCTCCCCAGGCAGTGGTTTTCCAACCTTGCCAGCTCCTCATTTCCTGGAAGGGGAGTGGGCAGGCTGCCTGGCTCTCTGTCTACTAGCTGAGTAGGCATGGAACTCTTCCACAAACACCTTAGATATTTTTTCCCCAAAACTGACTATTGAATGGAAAAAAAAAGTCAAAATCTTCAGCGTATTTTGGGGAACAGAAAGTCCTGTTCCAGCTCAGCTCTAATTATGTTCTGTAATCTCAAGAAGCCACGTTTAAACTGCGATAACACAGCTAAGAGGACAAATTCAATCCTTGGATGTATAGGAATGGTAACAACAAACAGAAAGAGAGAGGTGTAATTACCTGTGTGTGGGCATAATGGAATACTGGGGCCAGTTCTGGTGTCTGCACTTCAAAAAGGCGGTTGAAAAACTTGAAAGGGTTCACCAAAGAGGCACAAGAATGATTCTGGAAAACCTTTTCACAGTGAAACACTAAAAAAGACTGATCTGTTTAGCTTATCGAAAAGGAGATATGATAAATGTCTATTCTATAAATACATACCTGAACCCTCTTCA